CTTTTAATTGAAAGGTCTCCCTGAGTCTCCTCCAGGCTAAACACCACCAGCTAAACACCAGTACCTCAGCCTCTCCTCACAGGACTTGCCCTCCAGTCCCTTCCCCAGCCTCGTTGCTCTCCTCTGGACCCGCTCCAGCCCCTCAGTGTCTTTCTGGCAGTGAGGGGCCCAGCCCTGCACCCAGGGCTCGAGGGGAGGCCTCCCCAGGGCTGAGCTCAGGGGCACAATCACATCCCTGCTCCTGGGCTTCCCAATGCTGCAACATAGGGGTGGTGGATGATTTTTTACCACTGGCATTTGCAGCTTTCTGAGAGCAGGTCCCAACCCTGCAGCTCCACTGGCAATGAAACCAAGCTCACACTGCCTCTGTACAGTCTGGGAGACACAGCGTCACCTCCTCGGGGCCAGGGGTACTCAGACACAAACCCCAGGGTCTGCTTTGCCCCCCCAGCCCCAGTGTGTCCGTAGGGGTGGGGCAGAAATTTGTGTCTCTCATCACTGGGCTTCTCGGAAGACTGGGCTCCTGACACTGGCTTACAGTGCTGGGGGAAACATGAGGCCTTCCTCCTAAAGCGTTGAAGTGGGTCAACGTCAGAGCCAAGTGACCCTTTAAAAATAGAGCACTTAAGGGCAATAAACCAGAGCTACTCACAGCAAAGGAACAACCTGCTTGTCTAACTTTGTGACTTACCCAACCTCCACTTGCAGCCATGGGATCAAGTCTCTTGCAATATTACGGATACGATCCAAGTCCCACTGCAGCCAGCTGCTATTTGCATTTACTCTGTATTTGCACAAATGTACCATGGGTGGAATGTGGCCCGCTTGGAATGATGCCTGTTAGTTTTAAGATACAACAAAGAGTGAACTTCCAACAGCTTGTTGATGTGCAGGCAGTAAACTTTGGGATATAGCAGTTGTATGTGAAACCCAGCTTTGAAATTAGCACCAACACTTTTTAACAGTAAGACATTTAATAAATATCTTCATAGACACATATACAACTGATAAAAAGTAAAACTTCTTACACCGTTTCTCAGATTTGTATTATTATTCTATTAAAAAATAACTACCGCCTGTCCCACGGCATGAAATTTTCTAAGAATAGTCAAGGAACCTTAGAATTAATTTATAAAATTTGGCAATCATTTGCAATTTCATTAAATACTCAGATGTCTAATAATACATTATTCTTATCTTGATTTTAAATTTTAATTGCATGAAGTTTTGTCCCTCAGTAATCAGCACATTGTATATCCCACCTAATTCATGAACTGTCATTTCCTAGTTCCTAATGTTACTTTCTAATTCTGCCAATGATAAAAAATTTTGTCAAAACTCCAGAGTAAGTGACATTCTGCATGCACAATAATGACAAAACAAGCTAATTTACTGCAAAGTTGCTGAGAGACAGAGCTTTTTTAATTGCATATTTGTTACCTTCATTAAAAGGTAAGTGGCTCTTCAGTTATGTATTTGCCCATTTCTTACACATTAAAAAAAGTGCTAATGAACCTGATTAAAATTAATTGAAAAGGTCCAAGATCTGTAAAGAGATCCTAACATCAACAGACTTCTAATTACTCCTGAAAGATGGGCTTAAATAGGGTTTAGCAGTAGATAGAAATTCCTTTTCTAGCTCTGTTGGTAAGGAACGATATGGGGAATGCAAAAATGATCCAGAACCGAAACACATGGTTATGGACGCAGAAAATGCTGAGTGTCTGGACACTATTTCCTCTCACTCCTCTCTGCTGATAACTGTTCTTCCTCCCCTCCGTCCCCTGCGCTGGGCAGCCTGCGTTACAGCTGTACGGGGAAGAACAGGCGCTCGCAGGAAAAGCAAGGGAGGGGGAAACTCCAGACTGCCCCAGCCTGAGCGTTTGCGTAGCAGACAAGGTTGTGAGGTATCAGAGAAAGGCTGAGTTTTAGGCAGGTTAAGGGAATGCCCACCAGAAGTGGGGATATAGGAGTGAGAAGGGGAACCCAACATTGAAACTGAGGTGCCTCAAAGAGAGAAGGGGAAAGATGCCAGAGAGCGATGGCTGGAGAAAACAGGCTGTGGTGGAAATCTTGAATTATCCCACCCTGGGATTTCTTGGAAGTCGTCCTAGTGCTTATGGTCACCCAGGACAGTGTGAGAGGACAATCCTTGCCATGGTCCCTATTGATGTTGCCAAGGTGAAAACCAATTAGACCCCGGATGGTTTCAAGTGAGAAAATGTTCAGAAACCTTTCCAGCTCTCGGGCACACGTTGTCCAGGCCATTCGAGTGTTTTCAACAGTCACAAACCCCATAGACACAGTAAAAGGAGCTCATTCCTCCTCTCATTATGTTCATCAGCAGTGGTGTATCTGTCTAAGGTAGGGAGAGGGTACATTTAGGTACTGATAGCAAGAGTCGAGCTGCCTTAGATGTCAGTCTCTCAAACTTCATTACTTTAACCACAGCATTTATAGTTGTCCCTTTTCTTCTGCATTCCCCCACTATCCATTCCCATTGTTCCAGGATATTTTAATCTTGTTAGAACTATTTTCTTCATCTCTGTTAATAGCACACACCACTTATCTTGCTACAACTATATAAATGTGAAAGAAGAGAGAAATATATGAGTGATTTTAATTTTTTTTGTTTTGATTTAATTCAAATTGCTGAATGAAAAAATAGCTTCTTCTAGTAATTCTGCTGTAACTAACTCAGTTTGATATTGGTTCTATTAGCCTTCTAATAGCATGAAAGCTAAAAAATTAAATCGTTCCACTTCCACATTCATAATTATGTGCAATTAAAATCTTTACATACCCAAAAGTCTTATATGAAGCCCTGAACCCTTCAACTGTCACTCTTCATTATCTCCAAGCCTAACAATTTTACAGTGACACATTGTACACAATGAGATGTGCTAAAGAGGAAATATTATATTTTACTGATGTATGTGTTCTTTAATTTCTCTGAATTAGCTTTTTGATATGGATGCTAATTGTTTTCTTTGAAAGGAGTCGCCACAGATATGTGATTTCTCTATGCCTGTTGCGCTTCAAAAAAAATACAGTTAATTGCAGGAAACAGGAATTTCTCTCTTTTTTTATATATATAAAAATAATCAGCTGCATATCAAAGGAGTGAATCTTAATCCGACTTTCTGATTGTACATTAAAAAGAAACCTTCAGTGTTTGTGACCAGCACAGAGTATTTGGCGACTTTTGATGTTTCCCCTTTTCATTTATTCATGAGGCGAGATGAATAATTAGAACAGGACGTTTGGCAAAACCAGCGCGCACACACAAAAAATATTTCCATATGACCTTCCAGCTCCAGCCCATGATAGTCTCCGAGACACGTTACTGCAGGATGGTCCATATGGCAAGTGCACATGTAACTCTGAAACCATAGACCTGGTCGAGACTTGGGATCCTGCCGTCAGTGGCAGACAGCTGTTACTGCTCTACAAAAGCAAACGCTTAGTGTGGATGAGACAAGCGTGGCAGCTCAGGAAGGCTGCACTTAGACCCAGTCCTGGGTGTGATGGAGGCCACTGATCATGTCTGCTCGCAGGCTGAGTGGCAGATCCTCTCTGGATCTCCAGGAGAAGGTGGAGTTGCCACACTCCCATGGGGTTACGTGAGAGAAACCCGAGCTGCAACACAGAAACGTCCTTCTTGATGGGACAGCAGGTTGCTCCATATGTGTTAGAGAGAAGGTCCTTGTGATGGAGAGAGGCATGGTTTGGTCTGCAGTTTCCCTCAAATCCCTCACCAGCTAATTTTAACATTTAGTCTTAGCTGCAATGCTGCAGAAAGTGCTATTTTTCTTTC